CATTTATTCAGCTTTCATATGATGTATAAATCTCAATTTCGAAAAATTGACCCTTATGACTGGTTTTGTGCTCCAGGGTCACATATGTGGTTTTTCTCCACAATACTTTTTCTCTTCATTTTGAATATTAACAACAAGTTTTTAATTTGCAAATGAACTATTTCTAAATATTTTAACTCAATTAAAATGCTAAGAAAATACATAACATTAAATGTTTTTCTCCCTCAATAACTACTGTTTTTATTAATATTATCTGATTCTCGAAACTTCTTTTAGCTATATCCGACACTCCCAGTGCACTCACAGTTTTTGTTAATATTATATAGTTCTGTGAATATTACATTATAATGGTATACATATTTCACATGTACTCATAATACTTTATCAATGACATTCATGAATATATCAGTGTGTGTCCTCACGTGTCCAGTGTAAGATTAGACTTTAGCGCAGGTATTGTGTGATAGACTGCGCTCTTACCAGAGCAGAAAAGCCTGGCACCACCTTCCTCTGTTTGAGGCTGGTCTCTCCGTCCAGATTGGCTGTTTCCATGTGACACACTCCATCAGGGTCGGATGTGTGCAGGAGCAGGATGTCAGCTGGGATGATCTCGTTAGAGAGCACTCTCACAAAATCCCCCACGCGGACATCTTTCCATCTCCTCTCCATGAAACACATCTGCTTCCTGTGAGGAGACCAGAATTAATGCCTCATGCGGTCCTCTTTTGATGCATTGTGGGGTTTCGGTGTACATATAAATGCACAGACACACTTTTGAATGATTACTTGCAGAGCTGGGTAAATTACTTACAAATTGTAGTCCATTACATTTTAGGTAATGTAATCAGACTACTTTTTTGGTTACTTTCAGATTACTTTTGACCTAACTCATTTATGACATTGATTTAAATACGATAATCTTGTACCAAATTGATATAAAGATACAAAGTAACAACATGAAGTGCTTTAAACATTACATTACGTCAAGGTTTCCCAAACTGGGGTTTGTGAAGGAACTGCAGGGGGTTCGTGAATTTAATGAAACGCTAATAATTAAATCATAAACATGTAAGAATCTAAAATTATTTATTTTAATAACAACAATCAAAATAAAAACTTATTGTGTGAATGTCAACAAAACTGGAAGACTTTCTGAACGTGCATAAGCGTTAGGCTATATCAGAAATGAAAATTTAAAAGATGAAAAAGAATTAGGGAGAATTAGTAAATTATGGATAATTTATTTGTATTGTGTGAATAATATGTAATCATGTAATCAATAAAAAAAAGTATCTGCAGTCTGATTTTGACTATTTTAAAATATATTTATAATTTATAAATATAATTTTAGTAATATAGCCAAAGTACTTAATTTTTAGAATCTGATTAAGTAATCCAGATTATATGTAATCCGTTACTGCCCAGCACTGGTTACTTGGTAAAACAAAAAGAAATCCAGGACACACACCTATTTCAGCATATATGTGTATTATAGATGCGTGTGTGTGCGTGTGTGCGTGTGAGTGTGAGTGTGCGTGTGCGTGTGCGTGTGTGCGAGTGTGCGAGTGTGAGTGTGCGAGTGCGAGTGCGAGTGCGAGTGCGAGTGCGAGTGCGAGTGCGAGTGCGAGTGCGAGTGCGAGTGCGAGTGCGAGTGCGAGTGCGAGTGCGAGTGCGAGTGCGAGTGCGAGTGCGAGTGCGAGTGCGAGTGCGAGTGCGAGTGCGAGTGCGAGTGCGAGTGCGAGTGCGAGTGCGAGTGCGAGTGCGAGTGCGAGTGCGAGTGCGAGTGCGAGTGCGAGTGTGCGTGTGCGCGTGTGCGAGTGCGAGTGCGAGTGTGAGTGTGTGAGTGTGTGAGTGTGAGTGTGAGTGTGCGTGTGAGCGTGAGCGCGAGCGCGAGAGTGTGTGTGTGAGTGTGAGTGTGCGTGTGTGCGAGTGTGCGTGTGTGAGTGTGAGTGTGCGTGTGCGTGTGCGTGTGCGTGTGCGTGCAGTTGGTCAAAATAACAAATGTTTTCATTGGTTGTGATTGAAAATCAGAGTTATTCCACCACATATTGATTTCTTGACTCTTCTTTATTAAAACATCGGTATTGTGTTATCTAAAAATGAATATAAACATGTCTGAAAACATGGCATCTTTTTTGTTATTTTGACCAATTGTCATTGCATGCTCTAAATGACAACATTTTTATTTAAAATTTGCAAGAAATGTTATCAGTAGTTTTCAGAATAAAATTAAAATTACATTTTACTCAAACACAACGTAAATCCAGAGAAACTGAGAATTTTCAGGTGGTCTCTTAATTTTTTTCCATAGCTGTATACTTACTATTAAAATATTAAAAATATTTTTTACCGTGCAGTTGTTTTACAATAGAAAATGTCAATTTTGTGTCATGCTTATACAATAAAACTAGATGAGTTTGTATCTTCTGGCATGTCTCGACGTCAGCTGTCAGTGAAGAATCCTGCAGTCACAATGTGAGCGTCAGGTATGCTGCTCTACACGCACAACTGGGTCGGGTGGCTCTTTACTGACTGACGGCTCTTCAGCAGCACGGTCACACCTCACACACAAAGCCTGACGCACAACAGAGGAGCAATTACAAACATAACTTCAGGTGGAGCTCCCATGTTCTCTTCAAATAGCTGTGAAGTTGCATTTAATGTTTTGGCAAGCAAGGAAGTCAGGGGTGAATTGCACAAAAATATGCCCAGGTCATATTTCACCCCAAAAACAGAAGAATAAAATAAGAAATTATGCTCTGCATAAAGAAAATTAAGCCTTTAGAAATATTATGATTTTCTGAATTGTGACATTATTATTATTATTATTTTTTAATATAACCATTAAGGGTAACCCTTTACAATAAGGTTCCATTTGTTAACATTAGTTAACCACATTAGTTAATATAAAGTAACAACAACAAAAATACTTCTAAAATATTTATTAATCTTAATTAATGGTAATTCCAACATTTACTAATACATTTTTAAAATCAAAAGTTGTATCTGTTAATATTCTTTAATGGACATGAGCTAATATGAATTAACAATAAACAGCTGTATATTTATTAACTCAACAAAGATTAATAAATACTGTAACAAATGTATTGCTCATTATCAGTTAATGTTAGTTAATGTATTATTAACCAATGTTAACTAATGTAACCTTATTGTAAAGTGTTATGATTTAAATACAAATATATATATTTATTTTATATTTTTATATTTATTATAAAAATAATATTTTTTTCCAAATTACAGTAATGAGATTTTTTGTTTATTGGGCAATTAGCAATTTTGCACAATTAACAACATTAGATTCCTATTAATGCAATATAGTATTTTTTACTGTATTACAAAAAAAAAATGTTCAAGATTTTTTTGCATTACAATAATAAGCATTGGCTGGGAAAATGTACTTATTTGTCTTGCAAATGTCACAATACATTTTTCTAATGAAAATTTCAGTTTTTTTCTTTTGATGTTGAGGTACAATATGACACAACCTGCTGTTGTCAAATTATGGTTAAATGTACTATTCAGTCCCCACTGCCAGGCAAATAATTCCCACTAAATACCCCCTTTTCCTTTATGCAAACTTAAATCCATTTAATTTATACCACAAAGTGAAAACAATTCATTAATTGTGATGTTTTTACTAATAAAACGGCTGACAAAAGAAGATTAGCTCCTCAAATCAGACAAGACTAAAGCTGTTTTGTGCCAAGCAAGCATTTCTCTGAATGAAGTGGCTGATGACTGTTTCTGATAGTGGTGCGAGATAAATCTTGCGCTCCTCCAGAAGGACTCACTGTTTGCAGTCTGTGATTAGCGAGACGTCTATTTCTGGCGTTTAACTGTCAGTCAAAATGTGTGCGTGTCAAAAAATGATGTGCGAGACAAACACCTGCTCTCGAATACTCTATCTTAGAACGAGAGACGATGCCTCATACCATTTCACAGCATTTCACTGCAATTTTAATTCATTGCGCCCACATGGCATCTTTAAAGTGAAAAACTACAGTGGCTAGAGTTAAAATACGATCATTCACAGCATGCAGTTTACAATAACAAGTCATCATAATCAATCATAATCAGCGGTTCTGCTCTCTAACTGGAAATCCTCATCCTATCACTGCCACTGTCTAGGATATATGTTTTGAATTCAAGTGTTTCTGGTTTATTTTCATAGTGCATCCAAATGCTTTTGTGAGCATTTCAAAGCATGCTTTTTCAATCTAATCCACCAATATACAGTGGGTACGGAAAGTATTCAGACCCCCTTAAATTTTTCACTCTTTGTTATATTGCAGCCATTTGCTAAAATCATTTAAGTTAATTTTTTTTCCTCATTAATGTACACACAGCACCCCATATTGACAGAAAAACACAGAATTGTTGACATCTTTGCAGATTTATAATATGGGGTGCTGTGTGTACATTAATGAGGAAAAAAAATTAACTTAAATGATTTTAGCAAATGGCTGCAATATAACAGAGTGAAAAATTTAAGGGGGTCTGAATACTTTCCGTACCCACTGTATCTGCATTCATTTCAGTTAAATGTCAGGGGATATAACTAAATTCCTTCAAGTTCACATGACTGGCGTCACTGCATACATCACATTAGGACACGTTTGCTCTAGAAGCGTGACAAATCATACAGTATGTGGGAAAGGTGCATGCATGTACTGAAGCGTAACCATTTACAAAAGGTCGGTGTGACTCAACAGGAAAGGAGGCATTAGTTACACTGCATCCTACTCACATTTTTGTGATACAAATGCATGCCATGTCAAACCTTAAAGCTCATGCATGCTAATCTGAGTCAGCCAACCTGACAACTATCTGTTAAAGTTTGCCATAGTTTGTGGCAGATGTATTTCTTAATGATAGTTTGGGGGCAGTATGTTCTATCGCAAGAAAAGGGATCTAAAAATAACTACCTGCCACACTCCTGACAATTCTTCCTGCATCCCTCCTCCACACCAACTGCCCCTCTTCTCTCCATACATATGTCCAGGAGTCTGATTATAGACTGCAAGCCAAACCCTGCCTTTTATTAGGGGTGTTTGCTAAAGCATGCATCACTGTTATTATTGCCAGGGGTGTCATGCCCATTCAAACTGAGGGAGCAAGTGCCCTCTCAGATCTTTTTAAATGCAACTTCCAAAAAGACTGAAAATATTTTTACATTTGATAATTACAGATTAGTTCACTCAAAATTTTAAATTGGCTGAAAATGCTCATCCTCAGGTCATCCAAGATGTAGATGAGTTTGTTTCTTCATCAGATTTGGAGAAATGTAGCATTGCATCACTTGCTCAGCAATGGATCCTCTGCAGTGAATGGGTGCCGTCAGAATGTCCAAACAGCTGATAAAAACATCACAGTAATCCACACCACTCCAGTCCATCAGTTAACATCTGGAGAAGACAAAAGCTGTGTGTTTGTAAGAAACAAATCTATTATTAAGACGTTTTTAACTTTTAACCGTCGTTTCTGGCCAAAATAATCCATAATAACGCTTCCTCCAGTGAAAAAGTCCATCTCCTGTTGCCTCTCACATCAAAATCCACCCATATATTTGTTCAGAACTGTTTTGGTTTGCAAACGGTGCTTGATCTGTGCAGATTTCTCTCCTAAATCAGACGAGATTACTTTTTCACTGGAGAAAGCAATATT